GCGGGGGCGGCGCGCTCGGTCCACGCGTCCGGGGCCCCGCGGGGCCGGGCCGGGAGTCGGCATGAATCGCTGCTGGGCGCTCTTCCTGTCTCTCTGCTGTTACCTGCGTCTGGTCAGCGCCGAGGTGAGTTGCGACGGCGGCTGGGGCCAGGTCGCTTCATTCATTACCCCACCTCCACCCTGACGCCCCTTCCATTCCCTGCAGTGAACTTTGGACTTTTGCAGCCCGTGGGCCTGGCGCTGGGCGCTGGGTGACCTCCGAGGGCTGGGACGAGACGCCCGGGGAATGCCAGGCTCTCAGGGGAGGGGGCAGCGGTGGATTTTTTCCCCAGGCTCGAGTCCAGATCCCCCAGTCTTTCAGCGTCCGGGGAGGGTGTGTGTGGCCCTGCCCCCACCTCTCAGGGACCCGAGAATAAACCCCCACCCGGCCGAGGGGAGAGGGGGTGGGGTGGTGCCTAGGGCGCAGAAGACAGCGCGTCCCCCGGAGCCCACTTCGGCTCCTGATTTGGTTTATGGGATGTCCAGGACCTGGCTTGCCCGGGAGGTATGAGCTCGCCCACCATGCTGACCCTTGGCGGGGGTTCGGGCCCCACCCCAGCTCCCGCGCCCGGTTAGGGTGAGCGCCCTCGGGCCCGCGCAGGGCAAGCCCGGCCCCGGAGTGTGGTACAGGAGCAGCTCGTGTCATGGGCGGAAGGAGCCGAGAGAGATAGAGGGCAAGGTTTCGGTCACTCTCGGGCGCTTAGGATAGGGAGAGAAGTGGCGCTCTGCAGGCATCCAGCCCCCGGGGCCGTAAGTGCCTGAGGCCCCGCCATACCTGCGCCCGCGCCCTGTCAGAGGAAGCACCTCTCTCCCCCGCAGCAGGGTGTGGAACGCGCCCCCTGCAAAAGCCTCAATGCAGGGGAGGTTTGGGATAGAAACGTTTGCGGGAGCTATCAGGTCGGCTCCCTCTCCTCACCCCTCCCAGCCTCACGTAGCAGTGAGTTGGCAAGTCTATCCGGAATCCAGGTGGGAAAGGGGGCGGGGCAGAGAGGAGGCGCGAGGTGGAGGGAGGAGAGGGCAGCCGGGAGCGCGGCGCGCCTGGGTCCCGTCTCGCCTCCACTCCGCCCCGGCCCCGAGCCTTCACCTCGCAGTCCCTGGGAAAGCCGGCCCCCTCTTGGCCTCCCGCGAGGCGCAGGAAGAAGGAGGCGGCGGCAGAGGGGTTAAGGCAGAGGACTCCCAGGCCGCGACCGGGCCTTGGGCCGCCGCCAGCGCAGGTTGTTTTGACCACGGAGGAACCGTCGCCGTCTCCTTTTGTTCTCGGGGCTCCTCG